TAGTCTCCTCGATTTAGTTGCAAATGTGTACATTAATTGTCGGTATTTCAACTATAAACAAACAAAAAAAACACGCATATAGTCTAAAAATGCTTTTTTTTTTAAATCAAACATATATTCTATGATATTCATAAAGAAAGGTTTATCCCTATGTTATTATGTTTCAAGAACAAATATTTATCTATTAATAAATGTTTAAGTTAATATAGCGCTGTTATAGTTTTGCACGTTAATAATTTGTTTAAAATAACCTCAAATAAACATAATTTTATTTAAAAAAAAGTCGAATATAATATCATTATAGTAATAAAAGAGAGATTAAACCGTAAAAGTAGTTTTAATTACATCGAAATCTTGACACTAAATCGACACTAAAAAATCCTTATTGAATTATAAGCTTTAAGACCATCAAGAAAAAAAACTTTATTGAATAATTATTATATGTTTCTAGATCGTCAAGAAGATCAGAAATACATATATATATATTTTTTTTTATTGCCCTTGTAGGCAGACGAGCATACGGCCCACCTGATGGTGAGTGGTTACCGTCGCCCATGGACTTCAGCAATGCCAAGGGCAGAGCCAAGCCGCTGCCTACCGCTGCCTACTACTATATATTGGCTTATTTAAAAAAAAAACCTTCACTTCAGAAAATTATAATAGATTATGTATTTCCTTTCCCGCTTCGGGTATGGTATATTTACATCCCGTAAATTAAATATAATAAGCAAAATATTTAAGAATTCGACCTCATGTCTCAAGGTGGCGGGGATACCATCGCGACGGTAACCATTTAAAACCAAATAGCATGCAAACTCGTACACATTTTCACTTACATACATACACACGTATAGGCAATAAAATATACTTATGCAATTTTTCCTGTATGAGCCAATGAATGTCTTGATAATTTTTAATCGAAGAATTATAAATGTTAGAAATTTGACACAAATTGTTGTAGCATTATTTTTTTTTATTGCTTATATGGGTGGATGAACTCACAGCCTACCTGGTGTTAAGTGGTTACTGGAGCTCATAGACATCTACAACGTAAATGCGCCACCCACCTTGAGATATAAGTTCTATCGCTTGCAAGTGTCAATCGCTTGCAATAATGCGTAGCTCTCAAATCAAAGGCAACTTGAGGTCGTATTTTCTAGACTACTTATTAGGATTTACTACTAAATATAATAGTAATAATATATATATGTAATAATAATAATAAATATAAAATAAATAAAATAGTAAACTACAATACGCCTATAATGCCATTAAAAATGTTAATGTAAATGAGAAATTACAGATCGTGCTCATTATGTATTCTTATAAAGAGTAGGATCTGTAAATTTTCATCTTAGCAGAGGCTAGACAGAATACAAGAAAAGTTAATGTTCATAAAATGAAAGAGATTTTAATTTAGTTTTAAAATAAAACGTTTTTTTACAGAGCCGTTCCGTCTATCTAAAGGCGTGTCTGCTTAAAAAAGCCAGATAAAGTCTAGCAAACAACTCGAAAGTTAGTTCAACGAAAAGCTTGCGAGTCAATTAAAGAAATCATTATCGTGCTTGCGCTTTTAGGTGAGAACGTCAGTTGCACCAAGAGGTATAGTTAAGAGCTTTCTATTTTATTTTTCTCTACAAAGTGATTATTGTTTTGATGCGCCATTTCATTCTCGACTAACTTAGATTTAGGTTTTTGTTCAGGTGTGGATAGAGCTCATTATGATTTCTCAATGAATTCGTCGAGTCGATTTAATATTCTGTTTTCATTTCCGAACGTGGAGTCCTTTAAAAGTAATGTTTGTGTTTTGAAAAAAAAAAACACACGCTAATTGTTGTTTGTCACGCCCATACTAATTATGTTTTTAATTTTACATCGATTTTAATTCTGTATCTGATCAATATCTATATATTAATACGTGAAGCAAAAACTTTGTATCCCTTTTTAAGAAATGTGCGCGGACGGAGGAGTATGAAATTTTCCACAGTTATAGAGAATATAGAGAAGAAGTGCACAATGCTAATATTTTTTTTAAATAATGCATAAAAGATACATTAAATCAATAAAGAAAATATTACATACACTACATACCATGTATTTGACGCACACACGCATGCATACTATTTATTGTCAAACTTTTGTTCTTGATGTTTGTTGTCAAATTGAGATTAAATATTGTTTGTTTTTGTTAATACTTTTTATAGTCTTGGCGAAATTTGTGATTATAGAAGTATAAAATACAATCATAATATTGTACCTACAAACTTACAATTCCAATTAATTATAGTCGAATTTCGACTAATGCGGGACCTCTAGTTATTATTATTATGCTAGCTCAATTAAGTATATTGAGATGAATAAGACCATCTAACACCCGATAAATCTCTAGGGAGTTTAATAAATATAATAATAAAATTAAAATAAACAAATCATTATTAGTCCATGTTCTCAATCAACTAGAAATAGCAATCCGTGACATGATATTGAAAATAACGAAATACATTTACTTTACATACGTGCGTGTTATTTACGTCATCCTCAAATTATTCTACAATGATTGAAAAAAAAGATTAATTACGTAAAAAGGGGCAAAACAAAAAAACATAACATTATCATGTAAAATACACGACTAAGTACCTCTAAAATAAAGCTCAGTGTTGCTTGAAACTGAAGTCTAGATTATACAAGGATAGGATTTGTCTTCATTGAAATTTATTTAAACCGGATATATTATAGGTATCCATTTAATTAATAGTCCAATTATCCGGCTTTATCAAGAAGGAATTTTTTTCGAGCCTTCTCGACTTCCTGCTATACCTATCTCCCGGTTAATTTACTCATGGCAATAATAACCTAAGCTTCTCGTACCTGACGTGCCGGCAATCCTTTGAGTGGGTATTGTTTAGGGCGCACATGGAATGCGTCGGTTAGTGCTTGCCTTGCGTATTTTTGAAGCGTGCTATGAATACTAGTTGAGTAGGTACTAGTTTGGAAAAGATGCATATGACTCGGAGATGTATGGAAATGGTAGTGCAAGGTAGAGGTTGAAGAGGTCGACCGAAGAAGACATAGATGGAGTGTGTGAATGACGATATGGGAGGGAGAGGAGTGAGTGTTGAAATGACAGCTGATAGAAGAGAATGGAAGAGAAAAATTAGCTGTGCCGACCCCACCTAGTGGGATAAGGTGGAGAAAAAGAAGACCTATGAGTACTGGTTTAAACAGTCGATATCCTAATGCAGGGGTCGCCAAATGGCGGACCGCGGTTCACCAGTGGTAGGACCTCTTGTGAGTCCGCACGGGTAGGTACCGCCACCCCGCCTATTTCTGCCGTGAAGCAGTAATGCGTTTCGGTTTGAAGAGTGGGGCAGCCGTTGTAACTATAGTTGAGTTGTAGATTTCTATGGGCTCCAGTAACCACTTAACACCAGGTGAACTGTAAGCTCGTCTAAGCAATAAAAAAAAAGCATCCAGACCGCCGACCCATTTTGTTGTTCGGACCGCGAGAACCCAGCAACTTGTATTACAGAGTACGAAAGTTTTCAGTGAAAAGTTCTGGATAAAATTAAGTGTCTAGTAATAAATATTCAGAACTACAAAAAAATATTTTGAATCTATTTAGGTACTTTGTTTGGGTCAACATATTATATTTGTGAAGAAGCATTTTCGAAGATTATCTTTATTAAGAACTAGCAGTACCCGTCCGCTTCGCTGGGCATTTAAAATTAACATTATTGTTTCTCACCCCCACAAAGATTCTCATAATTAACGCCCCCGCAACTGGTGTAGGGAGTCCAAAACTTATATAAATATTGGCCTATCCATTAAGTACATGTATTTTCAACATGGATACCAAATTTCAAGTCAATCGGATGCACGGTTCAGTAGTTATAACGGAACATCCGTAACATTGTAGATTTCTAATAAATCTACAATGGTTTTTTACGGATATTTATATATTAGTATAGATAAATTTTGATCTCGACTTACTAATGAATATCTCTAGAATTTTATTTCCATAGCTTGTACCAAATATTACTTTAAACATCAGACAGATAGTATGTAACATAAAATGTTATTTTTCTCATTTAGATATGCAATAAATACCTGTATTATTTTCGTTATTATATTTGTTTAATAATTTTTTTTTTCCATAAAATGTAGTGCGAACCGCGACTATCATTTCATTTCTTAAAACGGACCCCGATCGAAACTAATTGGTGACACCTATTCCAGTGCAATAAACTTTAACTTCATGTCTCAAGAAGGGTCTTTATGTTATTGTACTTTAAACTTTATTTAATTAGGAAAAACGACGCCATGGTATTTGTAACTTACGACACATTCGCAATGCTTATTTTAAGTACAGCGCCCCCGCTCACGTACGCTGAGCTATAAAATAATTGGCTTCAAGGAAACATTACATATTTGCTATAGCCTATTCCCATCACACGATAATATGTTCATACTTCAAAATACATTGTCCTAAGGCCTTGGTCGTCCTTCATGAAGTTTAATTAGACAATATTTCTTGAATGCGACGTAAAGTGTAGGCAGTTCACTTATGTCTGTACCTAATTACGAACTTTATACTGAATTAATGAATAGAAACATCTCCAACTCTATTATTTTGTTGCAATTATAACCCTTAATTAAAGACATTTCAAATTCAGTGACAATTAATGTATCGCTACTCTATAACTGTTTATCTTTTTCTATTTAACAGCCGTGCCATTTTGTATGTCAATAATTATTAGTATGTTATGATCGAGTCACGATGTATCGTTCGCCTGTGTGCCAATAGCAGGTGGTGTGTGTGTGTGTGTGTGCGCGGGCGCAGCGGGGGCGGCGGGAAGCGGGCGGGGCGGGGGCGAGGGCGCTGGAGGCGTGGTGCCGCCAGCAGCTGGCCTTCTATTCGCCGGAGGAACAGTACAGCGTCCCGCCCAAGTCGCGGCCGCCCCGCGCCTCTCTCGCGGCCCTCACCCGCTCAGTGCCTCGCGATACCTCGGCCGCGTCGTACGTGCTGCGCTCCGACATTGAGCACTCGTTACGTTACAGGCACACATGTTCGGGCACCGGTGCTCGTGCTGAGCCGCCTACGACGAAAGACACCGACCCTCGTCACCATGCCGGCTGAAGAAGATCCCGTCGCCATGGAGGACCGAGGGACTCCCCAACAGTTCTGCCTGCGATGGAACAATTATCAGAGCAACTTGACCAGCTGTTTCGATCAGCTGCTACAGACGGAACTTTTCGTCGATGTGACCCTTGCTTGCGAGGGACAGAAACTGAAAGCGCACAAGCTGGTGCTGTCGGCCTGCAGCCCGTACTTCCAGGAGTTGCTCACCGACAACCCGTGCCAGCACCCGATCATCATAATGAACAACGACATTAAATACTGTGACTTGAAGGCGGTGGTGTACTACATGTACCGCGGTGAGATAAACGTGTCCGAGGACCAGATCCCGGCTCTGTTGAAAGTGGCCGAGGCGTTGAAGATCCGCGGCCTCACGGACGTGAATGCGTCGTCGACTCTGGTCGGCGCCGAGGCGCGAGCCAGCAAGCGCGCCGCAAGTCGCGAGCGGTCCCCTGGGCGAGCCCGACGCCGCCTCTCGGAAAGTCGCGGGCGACGCGCCTCCACCCCAAGTCCCGCTCCGAGCGCCGAGCCCGCCGCTGCAGCCGCACCGCCCGCTCCGCCTGCTCCGCCGATGCCGCCAGACGACGCCGACATCCGTCCTGGCATCGCCGAGATGATCCGCGAAGAAGAAAGGGTGAGTCCGCTCTCTTAATTTTCCTATGTTTAGTTTTCCCGCCGACTGACGCTTCAACCCTCCCCCTCGCACCTTTCGTCGCATAATTCCGAATCCGCACTATCTAATTAATTTATTTCGCTGTTTTCTTTTTAAATTTTCCATCATACATAGAACCGTCGAATACTGTCTCATAAATGAAAAAGTAACATTTAATATCGATTAGTGATTACAACACTTAAGTAGTTAAAATCACGTTTGTATTTAGTAAAAATCTTATTAGTTACAATTCAGAAATGAAATGATCGAAAACACACCTAAATCGTAAACAATAACGTCTAAATTTATTAAAATAAGATGAGCGTCGACATGGGGTTAAGAGGTAGTCGGTGTGTCGGCTAATGGAAACCTCCCGTACGTGAACCGCGGCCGATGCTTAACATAAAATGTAGAACGACGACAAACAGCTGGGAGGGCACCTAATTACAATTGGCTCACGATACATGCCCGCTGTGCCTATCGTATTTGTTGAGACACGGTAAATTTATTGATACAACCCGTAATAGTCCGATAGGTTTTGTACGAAGCACGTCTATCGAGTTGTTTAGCGTTGTCGCGTCTTTATTGTGTAAGGCGTTTGTGAAGAAGGTGCTTTGTCGTCCCGCTGCGAATGAAAATCTCGTAAACGGCTTTTATGTCGGGAATTGACATCCTCGATGATGTGCCGCTGCTTCGGTAGACAATTTCTGAACTTTAAGCGGTGTTTTTTCATTGTTTTATTTTTATTTTATCAGAAACACATTATATAAATTATAATTAATATTAACATCCGTAACTAAAACCGGAAAAATTGACATATTTTTTTTTTAAAAGAAGAAACGTTGCTCCAATTTTTGATAAACATATTCAAATTTAAAAAATATCAGCCTTCAGTTCTAATTTTCATAATTGCGTCGAATTATATATTTGTATTTAATATAAAATAAATAAATAAAGAATTTTCGTTATACATATCTACTGTTAAAAATATAATAAAAAAAGAAAGGTATTAGTAAAAAAGGAAATAATTAAATATTAAAGTAAGCTTAATAAAGGAACGGTAATTGCTTAAGAACAGAGCCTATACACGTTTTCTTATCTGCAAATGTTGATAACTTGAAACTCATTATAATGAAACAATATGCTTTTGTTAACGAAAGACCTAGTTTCGCTTAGACCAGTTAAGAGCTTAGCGTATTCTCGTTTCTAACCTCAAAAACTGACTTTCATTGTAAAGTAGAAAAATAGGTAGAGACTTGGGCGTGCATTTGGCATTAGAATGTCCGTGCCGAGAAAATCACCCTCTTCTTATTTTTTTCATGACAGATGTCAACTCCTATATATTTATTTTCGATCGATTGGTGGTGACTTTTCATACCTATTGTCCAACAGTTCTCAAGTGATGCGCACACCATAGTAGCATTCATTTTTATTTAGAAGTATGGTGGTAGGACCTCTTGTGAGTCCGCGCGGGTAGGTACCACCGCCCCGCTTATTTCTGCCGTGAAGCAGTAATGCGTTTCGGTTTGAAGGGTGGGGCAGCCGTTGTAACTATACTTAAGACCTTAGAACTTATATCTCAAGGTGGGTGGCGAATTTACGTTGTAGATGTCCATGGGCTCCAGTAACCACTTAACACCAGGTGGGCTGTGAGCTCGACCACCCATTTAAGCAATAAAAACAAAATAATAAAAATAAAAAAATTTAGTCAACAAATGCTTAGGCTCATTATTGTTGTCTTAACGAAACCTATTTACAAAGTAATTTTTTTCCCTACGTATTCGCTGGTAGCCTAAGAGGCTATTCGAGATACGTCTGGACGGGTAGGTGAGCTCACGGGCCCATCCTGAGTAAATTTGTTAACACTAGCCCTAGCAAGAGCAGTGCTTCGCAGAATCTACCACCGGATCGGAATCGCGACCCACTGAGAAGATCCGGCGAGAAACTCAGTGAACTGTGTCTATCTATGGTCTAGTTCAGTGACCGGTAAAATTTTTTACTAGGTATATCGAATTCACCCCACAGACGTATTGTTGTCCCACGGTTAACCGGACAACACGGATAGATTAACAATAATAAAAATTCAAAATTTAAATTAACTTCTCTCCGACAAATATCAAATAACTTTGTTTAATAAATATTTAATATGATAGCAGATTATTTCAATGGTATATTTACGAGCGAAAAAAAAAAAAAAACGAATGATAGTGATTGATTTCACGTAGCCTACTAGATTACAATCCGGCGTGTAATTTCTGATGCTTTGTAATTAAGTCGCGTAATTAACCGATACAAACCTTTTTGGTTGTACGCAATGATTTTTTGTACAACAGATATGTTATCTTCATAGTAACTGACTCTTCAAATCTGATCGCGCCATATATATCTACATACCTACCGATATAGTGCACACACATGTTGACAAGTGGCATTAATGAAAAGCACAAAAGATGGGATAAGCGCGTGAGTAAAAAAGATAGCTATAATTGTAACGATTGCACTTGTTAAATTATTATTGCATTTGTTTAGACTCGACTAAAGACGAAACGTCCCAATTGGCCTGTTTTCGAGTCTTCACTTGAAGTGCGCTTGAAACATATCTGCTTCTTTTTACATATAAAATATCATTGGTTGTACGTTTCGAAGCCGTCAATGTCTGACAAGTTTTAGTACAACTATTATGTACTATTTTGAAATAATTTTCGATTTCATTTAGGTTCACGCCGGGTTTTTTAGATCAATACGTGCAAATTACATTTACGGACTTACTTCCTTTTTACTAACAGTCGCCTTGTGGGGAAATTCTGGCTTCATCCTGACTGATAAGCAAGCTCAAAGAATTCAAAAGAATTGCGAGCATCTGCGCTTGTAAGAGCAGTGCTTCGGTGAATTTACTACCGGATCGGAATCGCGACCCACTGACAAGAGACAGCGAGAAACTGGGGGCGAAGTAACGATCCGAAGTATGTTTAGTCAAATTTGCGGTAGATATTAGAGTTTATCAAATAGTTCGTGATATTATATCTGTATATTATCAACATAGATGGACATGCCATTAAAATATTACAGTTTTCTCGTAGGTATATATACTTCTAGACTACAATTCCCTTTTACTTTTAAAATTATTTCATCCCAAAAACGGACGCACAGATATTTATGATGTAAATGACATTAATATAAAATTGTTCGAAAATTGAAAATTTTTCTCAATCAATGATAGCCTTCGAGCAGATCCCGAAAATCGTGGACGACGGAAAAAGTTATTGAACCTACATAATATACTCGTAGTAATAAATAAAACATGCCAATGTATTACGTCCGAATCTATCAGTGTCAGTTGAATACAAGATATTCCAAAATTACATTGCATTATCACGGTTTTACCGATTCGGTACGCCGAAATATCATTTCAAAATTTAATAGTCGACACGTGTCATTAATGAGTCTTCCTGAGCTTTTATTAGTTGACTACGGAAACAAAACTCAATTTGCCACCTCGTTCGTCTGTTTTTGTTGATGTCAATAAATGACTTCAGCTCATACAACATCAATGATTTACGAATGCATCCTTACCGAGAGAAGATAAGGTCGAAATTTGTGTGGTCAATTTCAAATAGACTATTTGACCTTTGCGCCGCTTTTTTACTTTGCAACAGAGACATTTAAGCTGGTACTTGGGTTACATTCAACTTTACTTCTAAATATATACTGTAAGAATAATTATGTTCAAGGGTTATAGCAATAATTATAGTACTATTATGCTTTCAATGTCTTGTTTAAGTCGGTCTGTAAAGAATTTTCGATTAATGAATCAATCTTTACATCGTCTAATCGTAGAGGGCGGATTTAAATGATCGAATGAAATAATAAAATCAGAATAATTATAATACGACCCCTTCTTACTTACCCCTTGTAGTCTGATCGGTGATAGTTTTCTGCTTTAAGTGTCTGTCAGCGAAAAGCTTTGTTAGCTTACGGAGCTAATGACGAAGCTTACCGTGGAGTTTGGTCTTGACCGTTTTATTATACTGCACACAGAGTAACTAATGATTCGTTTGTAGGATTCCGCTAACGTGAGCTAGAATGTATTTAATTAAAAATATTAAAGTTTTGGCGGTTTAATATCAACTTTATTTTTTTACTTTAATTGGTGATAACCTCAAGGGGTGATGCTAGCTTCACCGGACGTGTAGGTGAGCTCACGGGGTTTCAACCTAGGAGACTTTGCTGATTCGTTTGTCAGTTTTACTATTAATTAAATTGACATAAGATGAAATCGAGACGAAGTCGTTCGAAGTCGCAAAATTATAATTTGCGTAATTACTGGTGGAAAGTCCTCTGATGAGGCCCCACGGGTAGGTACCACCACCCCGCTTATTTCTGCCGTGAAGCAGTAATGGGTTTGCGTTTGAAGTGTAGGGCAGACGTTGTAACTATACTGAGAATTTAGAACCCATATCTGAAGGTAGGTGGCGGCATTTACGCTGTAGACGTCTATGGGCTCCGGTAACCACTTAACACCAGGTGGGCTGTGAGATCGTCCACTTATCTATCCAACAAAATAAAATAAAAATGTCACTTTTACCGCTATCCTGCCTGTTTCTATAACGAAGCCTCAGACTTCGGCCTCATGCATCAAGATGGGTGGTCACTTTTGCGTTGTAATACAAAAAAAATCTGGTAATCACTCGGATCTCACTTGGATTGGATCGTGAGTTCGTCTAACTACGTAAATCAATAAAAATAGCTACACAGCTAAGCTTTACAGCGTATTGAAACTTAGAAAAATAAGAATAATAAAAATGTCAATCCAGTTATTATTGAAGCTACAATATGTAAAATGGTACGCGTGTGGAACATTTTATTTTGTAAGTATCAATTTGATAAATGCAATTTAGCACTGTTTGTACATACAAATTAGCACTTAATACTAAATTGACGTGCAGAAAGCCTCAAGTTCGATCCCGGTTCGATGACATTTT